CATTTTACCCACCTCGGAAGGATGGAAGGCTGAGTCAACCCTGAGCCGGTGAGATTTGAACCGCTGAACTGCTGATCTAGCAGTAGCTTGCAGTGCTGCATTTAACCACTGCGCCACCTCGGCTCCAAAAGATGCATTAGAGCTTATTTCCTGGTTAGGTCTTATCTTGGGGGAAATACGGTACTAAATGTATCCATCTGGCTGACAATCTTAGCTGGGGCTTATTTTGGGGGTAGGGCTTATATAAGGAGCATCCTGAAAAAACCATGCTTGTTCTTATTTTCGGGTTAGGTTTTATTTTTGGGGAAACAGGGTACCTGATCTTATTTTACGTTTAAAGAACTTCTAAGTACTGTATTTATCAAGGCAGTTTTTGGGAAAGCTGCTTCAAATCAGACTGCTGATTCTTAAGTAAGCAGGGATATGTTAGTTTAGGCAGTGCTATTACTAACCTACTTTAAGCTACTTTACTTGATTACTTTCATTTGATTGGCTACATTTGCAAATCTTTACTAATGAGGAAGCAAGTCCTAGGAAGGATGTTTTAGGGATGATACTGGAAGAAGTTGGATCTTCTTTAGAAGAAGCTAATGAAGTTCTGAACCTTGGTTGTTTGCTTGCAGACATTTCGTTGCCTAACTAGGCAACATCAGCATGCTACTGGGTGTGGGGTTTGCAATCAGGGGTGGGATCCTAACAGTTTAACAACTGGTTCACTGAGCGCGCGCTTCACTGAGCAATCTGATTCGCTCCCAGCTAATCTTCGGAGCTACAGGTTCACCCGTACTGGTCCGAATAGGTAGATTCCTACTGTCAACTCGCAAAGCACTCCTGGTCTGCTCTTGAGTTGCCATAGGCAGGAGGGGGGAAGCTGCCATGACCAGAAGCACATTCCACGCATACCTCTCTCGATTGTATCCCAGGTTACCAGAGCCAGCTGGAGAGGCGGGGTTTCTACAGCCAGGGAAAGCACTCCATTGGAGAATGTGATTTATGACACACCCGGGGAGGAGGGTTATCCAATTACCCATAGCTAGTGCAAGGAGGAATGTATCCCAGGATTATGTTGCAGGATCTAATCCGAGTCGGTCTTAAAGCGGCCAAGGCTGAATATCCCTACTTTGGTCAAAGACAATATTCAAGTGTATCACAGCAAAGAGGATGTTGAGTCTGAGCCATAAATTTTGATTAGAAGTAATCGACAGGGAGAAAGCATTTCTAATGAACTGAGACACCCCCTTAGAATTTTCTGTACTTTCCTCAATTACCAGCCCAAGTCTTGTTTTGTCTTGGGCTAATGTGTGGTGCTCACCTAACAAATATAAGGCAGTGGGAAGAGTTATTAATAATATCTGAGGATATTAAGAGTTATTAATATCTGTGGGTTTCCTTTTCTCTGTTCATAGGTATAGGAGATACTCTGTCAAAAAACTGGCTCAAAATGATGGCTTTGAAGGATATGGAAGAGGACGCCAGTCTCTTAAAACTACTTGAGCCCAGTTGTTGAATTGTTGAGTTGCTGTTTCTTTTGTGTAACACAAATGGGACACACAAAATAAAATGAAGAGATCCATCCAAACTGCTATCCTGATGATTAATCCCACTATATTCACATGCAAATTGAAGAAGTTAATTTTCTTAATATCCCTGTTCCCCAGCAGCGTGGGAAATGTCTTGGAGCCTTTCTGAAACAAAATGGGACAAAAAAATAAATTAATTAATGACAGGCTTCCTCTTACTGGTCAGATTAAAGTGACTGGGTGAAGGCAGCAATGAGGGCTATTCACAATCTTACAAAACGGACCATGATTAAACTCCTTTAAAATCTGGATTTCAATCCACTGTCCATTGTTAAGGGCCCCGGAGGCAATTTGAACCGAGCTGGAAAAAGGCTTGGATACCTTTAAAAATTCTGCATTCAGCGTTAAGATTCAAGGCACAACTGAAAAGATTTTTAAATTCTGTAAGTTTTGAAATTTTATTCGATCATCTTGACACAAAAAAATTCTTACAGCAGCTTTGTGGTATGTGTTTTGTGGGGGAATGTTGATAGTAAATAACTTTTTTCTTTTAAACATAACATATTGTACAGAATTTTCAGAAGATTTTTAGAATCACTGTAAGAGAACAGACTCTACATGCTAAAGTGACAAGTTTTCATCCAGGAATATATATATATATATGTATAGATATATATATTTAAAATCCACTAACTTCAAGGAGCATTTGCCCTTTTAAGACATTTCTGAATATGCGCAGATTTCCAAACCCCCAACAAAATCTGCACTAATCCACAAAAAGTCAACAAATAACACTCCCTGCCTTGCTCCTTGCCATAACCCAGGGGTGTCCAAACTTGGGAACTTTTAAGACTTGTGGACTTCAACTCACAGAATTCCACAGCCAGCTGGTTGGAGAATTCTGGGAGTTGAAGTCCACAAGTCTTAAAGTTCCCAAGTTTGGACGCCCCTACCATAACTGCTTCACCAGCCTCTGCTGCAATATTGGGAGAATGCTAAATTATTCTCAGTAAATCCTGCAGCTCAGCTCCCAACAGACATAATTACTGTACTGATATTAAAAAAAAAGAAAGACCCCTGACCACACAGAAGAATATTGAGGCACCAAATGTCTTGAAACATAGAGGACATAATGCAAGCCAGAGACCAAAGGGTTCTGTTGGTTCCATCCTGTCCCCCCTCCCTCGGCCCCCACCTCCCCAGGTTCAGGATTCTAAATATCAGTGTTTGGAGTATCCAATAGTGAAGCTTCATTGTGAGAGAATTTAAAAAAAATCCAGTTAGGGGCTGCCATTGTGCAATTTCTCATTAACGTTTAACAACCATCAAGGTACTCCACCCTATTTGTAACTGATCATCACTAATATCATCCAATCTTGCAGAGGAGAAAAAGAAAAGTTTGCCAAAAGAAAAAAAAGTAAGAAAGAAAAAGAAATCACTGGCTGCAACTATGGGAGTGAGGACACTTTCAAAAACAAACTGTCACTAGATTGTGGCCATCTGCTTAAGTGTAGGCTTTGTAAAAGCTGGGCATGGCAGATTGGCCCCACTGTAGGATTGTTCAACCTAACGTAGAAGAAAGAAAATAATAATAATCACAAAACCCTCAAATCCACACAGACACAATGACTTTGGACTTCTAATTAGGCTACTTTTCGTTAATTCCAGGAATGAGATATTGCATTGGACTTTAAACATTCCTGTGGGAGCCCCACCCTGATGAGAGAGGATCAACCAATCCCAGCCTGGGGCAGCAGGAAATGCTCCGGAACAGCTGTAGGGAAAGAGGGAAGATGCATCCCAATTGGTTGCAGGGAAGGGGCACCTTTTTCTCCTTTTAAGCACGGGCAGTTTAAAAGGATAAATGGAATTGACCAGCTCTCACACCAGGAGAGGCACAAGCACACCCAGGGATGCGGTTGGGTTTCCAATATGGATTCTGCATCTCCTCTACCCCGTTTTCTCCCTTGCCAGGATGTCAATCCAGTCGGGGAATCTCTTTGCTATGGTCGGACCATTCCAAACAGAGGAGAGCACAGTTCTGAGATGTGTAAACCGTAACAAAATTGAAACAAAAATAGAACGAACACAACAACCCAGGAGGGAGGAGGAAATGGAAAACACACATGCCCTGGGAGATCAAACATGCGCACAGAGCGAGAGTAATCGAATGCTCCACTGGTTTCAGTCCCGTGAGCCTCGGGATGCTGTTCGTCTGGAGGGCCAGAAGGACGAGGGGCTGTGCCCAATTCTGAGAGCACTCAGCATTTTGACAGGTTTTCTTTGAATTCTGATAAAAGATTTCCCAATAAGGTTGAATCATCGCATTTTCCGTCAATGGACACAGAGTTTTCTCCCTGCCAAAGGATTCATTGAAGGTGGGGGAGGGGGAGGAAGAGAGAGAGAAAAAAAATAGTTTTTTAGGATTAGGAAGGAAGATTCTTGTTTGCATTGCTTTATTACATCCTATGCATCTTCCTTGTCCTATTTTCCCCACAAGAACCTTGAGAGGTGAGCTGGGCTGTGAGAGAGAGACTGGCTCAAAGTCACTGGCCAGCTTTCATGCCTAAGGCGGGACTAGAACTCACTATCTCCTGGTGATTAGCTCAAAGTCACTCAAGCGGTTTTCATGGCTAAAATGAGGACTAGAACTAATTTTTCCATTTCTAGCCTGGTGCCTTAAACACTAGATCAAATTGCCATAATCATCTTTCCTCTCATCTGCCTGGAAACTGAATCATGTTTGTTCTTTTCTCCTATTCTTACAAGGAGATGTCAAGATTTATCTGTCGGTTAGGAAGCAACTTCATTTCTCCCCTCTTGAAGGGAAGGCAATCCACATCATGGATTTAGCAGGGAGTCAGATTGAGAGAGGAGTTGAACAGGCAAGATTTAACTTCTTCTCTTTAAAAAGCAAATTGAAGTTGGAAGTTGACAAAATATACAATGATACTAATGCTACTACCTGTTATCTGATGGCCATCTTCTTTGTGTTCCATAAATGGTGTGTTTAAAGAAGTAGATGCACGTAAGTATTATTAAGAATATTGAGTAATTACAAGAGCAACACCTATTGTGTCAATTTAAAAAAATTAAACAATTTTTTTTGCATTAATTGTTGGAACTGATTTATTATTTAATACAGATATTCTAACTAAGGATATAATTAATAGTATAGGTAGCAATAGCAATAGCAATCAGACTCACGTACTTTTGCAGCCCTCTTTAAGCGGTTTACAGAGTCCACCTATTTCCCCCAACAATCTGGGTCCTCATTTTACCCACCTCGGAAGGATGGAAGGCTGAGTCAACCTTGACTCTGGTGGGATTTGAACTGCCAAACTGCTGGCAGCCGGTGATCAGCAAAAGTAGCCTGCAGTACTGCACTCTAACCATTGCACCATCGTGGCTCCATGAGGTCAGGTAGACCTCACTTAATGACCATTTGTTTTGGGATCACTGAAAGTTATGACTGTGCTGGAAAAAATGGATCCTTCAAGTAGTGATCGTGACTCAGGTGCCTGGCAACCTTTGCACATGTGATGATGGTTGCAGATGCCTGTGGTCATGTGATGTGATGAAATCCACAGATGGCCCTGAGGAAAGAGGGGAAGAGATGCTGCCCAGGAAACAATCAGTCATGAGAAGCAGGGCCCCCCAGTGGCCTAATGGTCAGAAAAGGAATCTTAGTAAGGACAGTTCTAATTGTTTAACTGGCAGGAGGGAGTTTCAGACTTGCAGGATTCTGATAATGTAGTCTCACCATAAAGTACAATTAGCTTGTCTAATCATGTTTCCTGTTTGGTTTACCTGGGACAGCTGACAGAGGATCACCTTTTGCGACCCTCATAGCCAGATTCCGACAAGCAAAGTCAATGGGAAAGCTGGCAAAAGGTTGCAAGTTGGACATGTAATGTCTCACTTAAATCCCCGCATGCGGGATTCACCGAACAAACACAGCCGGAAGTGCCTAAACCTCCACTGTAAGTTGGTGTGGTTATGTGATTTTCTGCTTTCTGATCATATCACTTAGTGAGAGAGTTGTCATTTTGAATTGGAATCATTAAGTGCGGACTACTTACATATTTTAATTTTATTGTGGAAGTAACAAAATCTAGAGACGAGAAAAGTCAATACCTACTAGGGAATGCCTGTGATTGAAGTATCTGGTTTCTGCAAAGCATCACATGCACAAGGGGACAGTGCCCCATTATGCTTTAGCATTTGTAGCTGACTAATTAAACATATGCTATCACCACGTGTCAATTGTGCAATTTTGTGCTTTGTTTTTGGATTCACCTTTTTCACGAGTAGGCAGACATGATGGCCCTGGATAGAACGACTGTACATGGATGCACAGGCCCCCATACGTTCAACAACTGAAAGAAAAAAGAAAATGGTTAAAGGGCTTCCGTCTCTTCCTCAAACAAGGCTTTTGGATTTTTTAAAAAATGGGGCAGCTTTAAGGAGTGCATATCTACATGAGTAACTGATCTACTGTATTTTTCGGAGTATAAGACGCTCCAAAGTATAAAACGCACCTAGATTTTGGGGAAGAAAACAAGGGAAAAATATCTGCTTGCAGCAAACAGCCTGATTAGCACAAGAAAAAAAAATCTGCCTCCCAGCAATTTGCCAGGTGGAGCAAACAGCAAGTTTCACTTTCAATTTCTCCCGATCATCAGCTGTTACAGGCTGCAGGGATTGCTATAGTTTATTGAATAGAATAGAATAGAACAGAACAGAATAGATATTGGAATGAAGAATAGAATAGAATAGAATAGATATTGGAATGAAGAATAGAATAGAATAGAGAATAGAAATGAACAGAATAAATAAAAAATTCGAATAGAAAATAGAATAGAAAATAGAAAATAATAGAAAATAGAGAATAGAACAGAATAGATATTGGAATGAAGAATAGAATAGATATTGGAATGAAGAAGAATAGTATAGAATAGAATAGATATTGGAATGCAGAATAGAATAGAATAGATATTGGAATGAAGAATAGAATAGAATAGATATTGGAATGAAGAATAGAATAGAATAGATATTGGAATGAAGA